TATAAAACGCTGGACCCCCTGGACTCCAGCTAGGTCCAAATACATCCTGGCGGTCCGGCATTTTAAGAACGTCAGACCCTCAAATTCGTCAAATTTCGTCCTGGTTCGGGTGGATTCGGGCCAAATTAGTCGGTTTCAATTTCGTTCAAAAAATAAAAAAATGTCCGTTTTGATGAAAATCGCTGTTTCTTCAAACACCCTAACCAATCGCTGGATTCAAAAAGGGGATTCCACAACCCATAGTGGTAAAAAGGCTGAAAGCCACAGGCATACTATTCAAAAGGGGTTCTCCAGACGATAGTGTCCATTCTTTCCTATTACTGGGTCCCTCTCCGGTTAGCTGACCAGTGCTGTGAGTCATTTGACTTCCAATAGGTACATCATACTCACATCAGTCTTCAAACAACCTAACCCATCGCTGGATTCAAAAAGGCGATTCCCCAACCCATAGTAGTAAAAAGGCTGAAAGCCAAAAGAGGTTCTCCAGCAGATAGGGACACAATTGAATAGAAAAGTCAGCTCGGCATAGCAAATAGCCAGGTTCTAGAAAACTGAGTTCTTTGGATACAACCTGAAAGACACATAGGGCCTTGGACATGAGATTAACCACTGTGAGACGACCATCTCTCCTCACCAACATCATAGGCAGTCATTTGGTGAGATCTGTTGGATCTAACTCATTCTAGCATCTCTTTGTCTGCCTCTGTTTCTACCTTCCGACCTTCCTGTCTCGTCGTTGGCTGCAAGTACAGCACAATAATGTGCTCATTCCCTTCATCCCTTAGATATATTGTCACATATCTATCAACTAAAAAAGTGCATTTGTGAAACAAACAAAAAAAGGTCACACGTCATGCAGAACAATGAAACCGTTCTTTTTGCCTTTTCCTGTGTAGCTCTTTCTTTTCTTTCCTTCTTGTGGCTTTTTCCACCGATTCTTCCATGCAATATATATTTCAGCTGCAGGAAAAGCGTTACACAACAGGAGGAGATGGGTTCAGTTACTTCGAGGAGATTTTTCACAGAGCACGATCTGAATTTCTAGATGTAAAATTGTAAACACACGTCCTTAGAACGCTAGTACACGGCCCCAGCCTTGCAGAAAGTTTTTGTCGCCACAAGCAAAACTCGGAGGCGCCGCACTGCCCGGGGCGCCGTTGAAAAAAAAATTGGCAGCCTTCGAAGTGGTGCGGGATTCATGCTGACACCCGTGGGCCTATGTGTGGTGTACTGGTTCTTTAAGATCACTGGTGATGACTGCTGAAACAGCATACTCACACCAAGCCCAAGGTGAATGCGTCTGGCCGCACTTGAGATCACTTTCCATGGTAACATTCCTGCATTCATGGAAGAACTCCAATACCCCGCCGCAATGTGCAGCCACTAATGACAGGCGTTGACAACCTTAATAGGTAAACGAGAAAAAAAGGCGCACACTTACAGCATGCCTCAGACTCTCAAAGGGTTGAGACGATGGGGGATTCATTCCTGTCGACCAGAATTATTTTGTGACCATCGATCACAAACTTCAACAGCTAGTAACGATCCCCTCCCTTACCCCTGCTCCTCTTAAATAGAAAACTTTATGATGGTATTGAGCACAACTCTTCACCCATACACATCCGCATTGCTCTGTATACTCTTCAGGGAATCAGGGGGAAACGGAAACCGCTCAGATGAAAGATAACGGCGGGCCTCAGCACAGCTTTCCTGTTTTAGAAATGGATCCATCTGGAGAATCAGAAAAGATGGCAGGATAGAAAATGTCCACGGACATGTCCGATCTGTTCTGGATGATGAGCAAGTCGTGAGCCATGAAAGGGGTTAGACAAGGCAAACAAGGTGATGTTTGGTCTATGAAGGAGACTAGGGCAAGCCAACTAAGATGAACACCACCTACCCCCCCCTGAGGCTTCTGCGCCTAATGAACCTTTTTCTTGTTTTCTGTATTTGGGCCCAGTCAATCAGAACATAAAAGGCAGTGTCTTCAACAAAGGCAAGACCACCCAGCAGTACGGAAGAGAGGTTGTGACAATGTCTGTTCTCCAACCAAGGTATAACAGACCAGCAAGGCAGTCCCTGCACACTTATGGATGAGAACATGAGGCGAGCTTCTGGCTAGACAAGGGGCTCGGGCCAGGGACAGTTACTAGAGGTGGCTGATCTTACCACCCCCTCTAGTAGTGGTCGCTGGTGAAAAAAAACAAGACAAAAAACAAAAAAAAACAAAAAAAACAAAAAAAAAAAGGGGGCTCGGACGGATTAAGTACACCTGGAAGGCAAACATTGGAAACAGGAAAGGAGTTCATGGGGGGTGCGAAAGGGCTGCCACAACCTACAAATGGACCTGCAGGAATAATGGATTCTGTACCACAGTCCTCACTGATGACATTGTGCAACCATAAAAACAGATAAGAGACCATATGCAGCCGTTAAGTTAGCCCTTTGTGACTTCAAGAGTCAGGACCAGGAGGGCAGATGAATAGGAACAGACATTCGCGAGATCATCAACCCAGGGCCCACGACAGCCAAGAAGAGGAAACACAGAATGTATAGTTTGGTATTGTAGTGGAAAGTATAATCAGTAAAACGTATTAGGAAAAAAATCAATGGTAAACTGCACTGGTTTGACAAGCAGCCACCAGACATGCTATGTCTGCAGGAAACGCACCTGTCAGATTCAGCAAAGCATAGCCGTGTACTAGCCGGAGTCAGCACGTCTCAGCATCCAGAATTAGGTTATTTGAATTTATTTCTTACTATCAACAACCCTACTGGGAGCAATCTAGTCCACGGGAAGAAGGAACCCTACCTTAGTTTACGGGGTTAGATCATAAATATGTTTACGTCAACAATGGCAACTGGTTTCCTAGTTGAGAGGAGCTAAGGAGCCCCTGCACATGGTGGAAGGGAAAAGAGGAATCCTACAAAGAGGACCCGGTGTCCAGCCAAGTACCAGGCCTAATCTTGTTCCAACAGGGGTAGGGTGGTGGTTAACCCCTCCAAATGTCGAAGCCATCAATGCTGCTGTCTCGGGCCATACGTTACTGTCCACGTCTCAAGCAGGCGGCGGGCGTATACGTGGACAGGAAGCCACGGCTGAATTCGTGCTCAATGTCAATAGCGAGTCCAAACTGGGGAAATAACTCCACGGTGGTACCATACCAAGGAGAATTCAGAGATCCCATAGTAAGAATTATCACGTGGGGACATTTAAGGGGATCAGCCTAAAAATTCTCTTAGAAACGTGGTGTGTTGGGGACATAACTCCATGGTGGTACCATACCAAGGAGAATTCAGAGATCCTGTAGTAAGAATTATCCTGTGCGGACCCTTAAGGGGATCAGGGTGAGCTTATTGTACGGGACGGCGGACCTGGTTTTCAGCTAATGGTATGAAAGATAGTTTTTTTTATTAAAAAAAAAATGGTCAATATTTGTCTTCACACGGCTGCAGTGAGGGGGAAGTTTTTTTTTTAAATGAATACTTCAGTCCTAGCCACACATGAAGTGAAGGATGCAATGCTTGAGACATGCATCGAACATTCGTCGGAAGTAAACTCATTTCACAGACTGGTAGAGAAGCTCTCCAAGGTAACATCAAAACCATCCAGATTCCCGCAGCCAAACGCAAGGCCAGGGAACAGGAACTGGACACAGCCATAAGGGTAGCAGAGAGGAACCTCGTAGCACAACCCAGGTGCTAAGTCTACAAGGAGCCCTTGAAGAGGGCCCAGCAAGAGTTGGCTGACTGGCACAAATGACATAACAATGCGCTGCGGCTAATGGCGCGAATCGAGGAACTGGAGGAGGAGTGGGGGGGGGGAATGTCAAAATACCTCGTTCAGAAAATCTAATAAAATGCTAGACTTGCGACCCACCGGGCTTTGGTCCACACTTTTTTCTCTAATGCCCTAAACCAAGGCGAATCTGGGAAACAGCGGTTAGACTATGGGAAGCCATAACAGAGAAGACCTTTCCCAATCACACCCTCATCCGGTTAACAGGATTCCTGCTACCAAGAAATGGGAGAGGTACGAAATCAAGTTCTTTCATCCGCTAAGATTGGTATGATACAGACAATATGAACATGGTCACTGCGCAACTATGACACACAAAAATTGAGACATGGGCCATTTTTTTAGAAAAGGTTCTTTGCGAGGATGAGAGCACTAGCATTGTAGGAGGGATCCCAAGAAACAATTAGCAGGATGCAAGCTCCAGCACCGCAGGCAAGGAAACGGAATACGTTGGAGACTGGACAAAAGCCAAGAGCGAGATCCGAAAGTGGCCAGACAAGAAGCTGGAAATCAAGGAGACAAGTTTACCATGTCAGTTCCGGGATCAGGCAAAATAGGGCCGTTGGACACAGAGTACGTAAAATTTAAATGGAAACACGAAGCTGTTAAGGCATTCAGGAGCAGCCAAGTACTCCCAGCCTGAGTCTGGGGTCAGTATAAGGGTGAGTTGAGCCTTCTGCAGGCAATCCAGGGATCGGTGCTCTCCAGGGTTACTTTTCGGGTCAGGAGATAGTAAGAAGTGGTGGTAAATCTCTTCGAAACGGACGCAATCAATGCCATGTCTGGGTTCATCATAAGGGTGAGTTGAGCCTTCAAGTTAGGCAGGGATAGGTGCGCTCAGGGTTATTTTCCAGGTCAGGAGATAGTGAGAAGCTGTGGTAAATCTCTCTGAAACGAAGGCAATCAATGCCATGGCCTAAGCTTAAGCTCAAACAAGGCTCCACATAGGCTTAAAGCACCAGTACACCACATATCAGCCCGCTGATGTCAGCATGAAACCCGCACCACTTCGGAGGCCGCCGATTTTTTATTTCAACGGCAGGCCTGGCCGCGCGGCGCCGCCGAGTTTTGCTTGTGCCAACAAAAACTTTCTGCAAGGCTGGAGCCGTGTGCTAGAGGTTTAATATGGAGACAGGAGGCCTCAAGGGAGACCAGCAGCCAATCCTTGCCAAAGGGAAGTGATTAAACCACCACCACTTCCTAAAGTCATGCCCGTTAACAAGCCACGATTTTAGGAAATGTACGGGCCACTACAGGAGCGCCCAAATTCATCCGACTAGAGACATTTCTACTCTATTTTTTTCCGCAGCCAATAGCTGGGCCAAGTGCTGGTGGTCTAAACCGGATGCCCGCCGTGGTTACCCCTGCGGCGCACACCTGCTCCTCCTCGTCCTCCCTCCTGTTGTCTGTCACCTCCTCCTCCTCCTCCTCCCTGTTCACTCCCACCTCTATCCCATGCCCCTCCTCCTCGGCCACCTCCTCTGCTGCATTGTCCTCCTGCCCCTCCTCCTCCACTGCGTCCTTCTCCTCCTTCCTTCTCCTCTTCTCCCGCTGGTACCGTGTCCTCCTAACCCTCCTGCAGCCAAGCAATGGAAAAAGAAAACAGGCCTTACACAAAAAAGAACAAAGTCCACTGCCTGATTCCTTTTTTTTTTTTGAAGGCCAAGTAGCCCAACCCAACTCAATCGTCTGTTGAATCTGATAGGATGGCCTTTCATGCCTGGTTCCAGACCATGGCCCTTTCCGTAGTCAACATCCCACATGTAGGTAAACTGAATCATGACCAAGCCACCAAAACCGGAAAATGAAAAAGAACATGGCAGCCATGTTTGTATTCCTATTCAGGATTCTCAAATGTAAATATTTGGGACGCTGGACCCGTTTTCCAGCAGGTGTGGCTCCCCACCAATAGATTGGAGCACCCGCGGCAACTATAAGGGAGGCTGCCTGTATAACCCCCCCTAGTAACTCGCCCTCAGTCCCCACCCCCCCCAAAAAAAAAAAAAAAAAAAAGTTAGATACAACACAGCGATAGGAGAAAGGCGCTCGTGAGGGAGGCTCGTATCACCCCCACGAGTGTCCTGAGCCGTGATAAAAAGGGGGGGGAAAAACACACAACAAAGAAGAGGCACGGCCAGATCCTCCAGGCTCGAACCACCTCGCCCCCAAATCACGCCCCCGTCCTCAGCCCCCAACCGCTAGACGCATCCATGCCGCTCCCCCCCACCCCACACATGCCCCAAAGGGGGCCCTCAGTCTCAATGCCAAGTCCGCAGCCTACCCTTCCACAACCCTGCCCGCTGTGCACACCCCAACCTCCTCCTACACCCTTGCCCCCTACCCCACACCCGCCCCACAGAGAGAGAGAGAGAGAGAGAGAGAGAGAGAGAGAGAGAGAGAGAGAGAGAGAGAGAGAGAGAGAGAGAGAGAGAGAGAGAGATCCAATACCATACAAGACGGCGGCAAGAAGCGGAAGATGAAGAAACATGGCGATGACCCGTTGACGTCTACGTTTAATACAGCACAACGAATGGTTGACGTGCACCCCTACATACATGCGGCCGCTCTGTTTGTTCTGCAAGAGAGTCGTCCATTTGCAAATTCTCTTTCGCTGGGCATCATCTATGAGTAGGAATTCGCGGACTGTAATTGTGCCGGACCCGCCGGGATGGCGGTCCGTTAGGATGGAGACGAAGAAGGAGGTAGAGATGGAGCTGGAGGGGACAGCGCAGCTCCGACGCAGACTCCACACGCAAGTACTCCAAGATCTGCGAAAGTGAAGAATGACGAAAAAACAGACTGCAGCTGGGGTATACCCCCAGCGGACTGACTGGACTGGACTGGACTGGCCTGGTACCGACCGTGGTACCGG